GGGCGCTGGCTGGCAGAGGGTCGTGGGCTTGCTTTCTGTCAGGCCGGGGTACCCCTGAGGCCTTAAGGAGGTTGCGCTCCCGTCCTGGTTAGGCCTGTGCCTGCCTTAGGTGCCAGGCTAGCTGGGGTGCCACGGTTAAAGGTGCACTGGTGAGTGGATTTTGTTGCTGATTCTAGGCACATACGATGCCGCGGTTAAGGTCAGGGAGGTTGGTAACTGGCAGTGACCTGAACTTGGCCGACGGGATGGTCACCAGCCCAAGCTGTCTGGGTGCGGGGGTAGGATGTGAGGCAGGGAACGTGTTGGTAGTCAAGCAGAGTCGTCACCTGGCACCAGAGAGAAAACCTGAGCAGCCCTTATCTTGCTGTCTGCAGCCTGCCGTGGTCTCCAGTGTTCTGTGCGAACAGTTTGTTCATCCTGCACACATGCAGAAGGAGCAAGGTGAGAATAGCCAGAGACTCACAGGTAGAAAAACCAAGTGGATACAGTGCAGGAGGGTTGCCAGAATCAACAAGGGTCTAGAGCTGCCAGTTTCAGACACTGCTGTATGTGAAGATTGGCAGGCAGCAACTACGGCTGCAGTCGCTTGCTGGGAAAAGACTGGAAGGACAGGGACAGAACAAGGTCAACAGGAATCTTTCTCAGAAACTACTTTGCAAAATAAATTCTTGGCAGGGATTGAAAGAAAAGAACAGAACTCAGAAGAACTTAACTGCTCAGTGTTCCAGGAGAGTTCAGGGATTTCGGGAGAAAAAGGCAAGTGTTCCTTTATGGAAATAAAATTACAAATCCCATGCTCAGAGGAGGAAGTTGAGAGCATAGAAAGACATGGAATTTCCTGTTTGCCAGAACCAGAGGTGCTGCAACCCAGACACAACACATGTAGTACTGAAATGAAAAGCACTCACCCTATAACGATACTGAAGATGCAAATCCCAGATCTTAAGAAGGCTCAGGAATCCTTGTCTGAACCAACGCCTCAGGGAGAGGTGGATACGCCATAGAAGTCAGATGGGTGTTCTTTAATTGAATCCAGAAAGTCAGGGACACAGGAGAAAGGAAAGAGGTGCTTGAGCAAGAAATGCAGGGCATCCTTGATGAAACCAAAACTACAGGGTCCCAGAGAGAAGGGTGGATGTGCCTTGTTGGAGCTGCATACACAGCATCCAGAGTCAAAGAAAGGAGCTGTGAGTCTGGGGAAGAAGGACAGAAAGGCTTTGGTGTCACAGTGGCTACAGGGTTGTGTTCTTTAGTAACCTTGAATGTTTTTTGGTCTGTATATAAAAAAGTATTGCAATAGGGTAGGGTTTTTTCCCTTAGCATAATCTTTAATGACACTTCTTTGTTTTCTAATCAGCAAAGGAAGAATGGAAAGCAATTGAGCAAGATTCTGGTACACAGCCTGTGAAGAAGCTTAAGACAAATCAAAACCTGTCAGAAGATTCTAAGGAAAAGGAACCTCACTACTGTAAATCTCCTACAGTTGCTGCTTTAGGTGAGACCCAAAGCAAGAACTTTCTATGCCATCCTGTAACAAAAAAGTCCGGTGTGCAGTATAAAAAAAGGAAACCCAGAACTGATCAAATCAAGTGCTTGCAAAGTTTTAGCGTGGCTTCAGCTGAAAAAGTCAGAAGTGTATCTGCAAAATGTGATGCTGAACATCGCAGGAAAGCCCTAAACCATTGCAATGGCTTGCTCTGTGCAGCAGGAAAGAATCCGTTTGTGAGATTAGAGGCCTGTAGTTACATCGATACGTTTGTGAAGTCTTCAGCTAGTGGAACTACCAGCAGTTATAAATTAAATGGGTTCTTCCATATAGCCCAGGATAAAGGAAAGCATGTTTTTCCTGATGGTACTGTAGAACAGAGGGATATGAATTGCAATGCTAGTAGAATGCAGAATGAAGTATCACCCATAAAAGGTGGTTTATTGTTCAATAAAGAAGAAACTCAAAACAGAGAAGAGTGGTTTTCATGCTGTCAGAGTGAAAGCAGTAAGTGTTCAACTGGAAGAAAGTCAAATATTGGTAGAAAGCCTGGGAAAAAGAGGAAAATCACTGAGAAATCAGCAGTGCAGAATATTTTCACAGACATGGCTGATGGCAGTGAGTATGAGTTACAAACAGAAGCAGCACTTGCCATGTCAAGTTCCTTTGATGTCTTGGGACTAAATCGTGAAGAAATTACTCTGTCAGCTTCATGTGGTCATACATCAAATCTTCATATAGGAAGAAATACTCATGAAGCACAAAATACATCAGTCTGGAGAAAGAATAGTACCAAATTACTTGCATTTGAAGATGACTTTAAGAAGACATCTGAACTTGCAGTAACAGCAAAAGAAGAAAATTCAAACAGCATGGCACATCATTCTGCTGCCTCAGGTAGCCTGAGAGTGCTGGCTGAGATCCATGGTGTTTCTAACAGTCACAAAAGCAAGACAGCTAAAAAATTGAGCAAAGTTAGTAAGAAATTGCAGCAGTTTACCTGTCAAAGAACAGTACCTATGACTGGTAAAAATGTCTGGCCTTTTGAATCTTGTGCCAGGACTTCTGAATGGGTTCATAAAAATCTTGGGTCTAGCTCAGAAGGAAAAAGACTTGTAAGGGCTGTCTTCCAGGAATCCTGGGATAAAAGCAGTGGTGAAGCTGTAGGAAGCAATGCTGTGACTGGGAATTTGAGACAGTTGGATTTGCCTATGTCATTGGAAGGGATTAACGAAGAATCTACACATAAAATAATAGATTCAAATACTGAATGTCTCACTTCACTTGAAACACCAGGATTGCCTCCCATGGATATTGATGAGACTTTGAGCAATGAAATTGTGGAATCCCCAGTTAATACAGATAGAAGTGCTGTGGCTTTTAGTCATGATGATGCGCAAGAAGTTAAAGCAACCTTGACTTTTACAACAAAGCAAAGAGAGAAAAAAAAGGGAGCTCTAACAAAAAGAAACCTGGCTGTGACAGTCCAGAAACGTACATCTACGCGTGACACAAACAGAAAAAACCTGGGCGGTAAGACATCAGTAGTGAAACAGGCATTTTCTGATTTAAAGCTAATGAAAGTATTGAACACTGAAAACCTGACAAAATTCAAAATTCCTTTATGCAGAAACAAACCTGAATCCAGGAAACTGGAATCTGTCCACTCATTTGAAAGAATAACCTATAGTCCACTAGAGCTTCTTGACAGCAGTAGTGTTTCAACAAGGCAGAAGATGAGTGAAGAGAATTTCTTGGTAAATTCTGAGCAGCTGTCCCTTCCTGTTGCAAGTGATGCTACATCTCCAGCTTCAACAAAGGAAAAAGGAGATGAGATCAGCAGTAAGGGCTTCCAGCATGATGGCTCTACAAACCTTACAGCCTTGTCCACTCTCTCTGAACATGCTTCTTTATATCCACATCCTTTTCCTGATGGACAGCCAGAGTCACCCGTGTCTGATTTCCATGGTACTGAATGTGTACTAAAATCTAGTTTTCCTGATCTTTCTTGGAATGCAGTTGACCACCCTGTTGCATTAGAAAGAAGTGATGGTAGCAAATCAAGTGGAACTCTTTCAGAACACCAAAATCAGAATATTCCAGATATTTTTGAAGCTTACAAAGAAGATGTTCTTGTCATTGATGTGATTCAGGATGACCCTGACCTTTTTGGATACAATAATGAAGACAAGCTTGAACTTGTAGATTGTGAAAGTTGTTCTGTGAAGGAGTCCTATGATAGCATCTGCATTAAAGATGAAAAGCAGGATCTTAAGCCTGAGTGTCCTGTAACCTCAGAAAATAGAGATTCAGTAGACGATAATTTTAGGTATGTATGTAATTTTTCTTTACTGCAATAATCCTAAGTACTTTTTTCTCTTATCAGGTTATTGTGGTCAGGCTTCCTCAGAGAATTTCATCAATTTCTGAGTTGAATTTAAGTGTCAAAATTTGACTGACATATGACAATATTCTGAATGCAAATAATTTCTTCTTCATCAGAACTAGGATTATCTCTGAATTGAAGGAAAACAGTCCTAAAGAATTATCACAACCTTCGGAGAGATGAAAACTGAACTTGTTTGAAGTCATATTTCAGCTTTCTTCCTGTTACCTGCTAAATTTGTTTGCCATCAGCCAAGGAAAATAAAAATGCAGACCTCATTTCTTAGACCTTCCCCTTAATTTGCTAAAGATTTAGGCAAAATTGTCTATTTTTGCTTTTTACATTCCATAATTTGATGCAAAGATCATTAGTGACTAATCAGAGTTGGTAACTGTCAGGAACATACTAATGAACTGAATATGACAATATTAAAATGAGGCAGTAAACCTTATACTGTTTTATCAGGTAGCTTATATCACTCAATAATACCAGATAATGACCAGTTCATACTGCTGTGTTTTATTTTGTTAGTATTTGCCAGATACAACTGGGACTTCAACTTTCTTTGGCCAACCAAAAAAGTGATTATGCTGGTAGTTACACTGACATCATACTACGCATTTTAAAATTAAATACTGTTTCAGTTAATACCCTTTTTTATTTTTTTCTTTAGAGGTGTTCTAGACTATTGTCTATGTTTGCTTGTTTGGCTGCTTATTTTATGCATACTCAGTTTTGCTTTGTGGCAATACTAGCTTAATATTAATTTGTAATGATACTTCAATCTGTCCATGTAGAACAGCGAGTCAGAACTGCACTATTGTAAGTCATCTCTAACTTGTAAAAATACTAGTTTATATGCATGTTTTGTTTAACATTTGATTAATGTTAGCTATTACACTATAGATAAACGTAGTTCGGTGATCTTGTGTAGAAGAGCAATACAAGCACTTAATGGCTGCACATGGTGACTGTTGCTGAATGTTTTCTTTAGCTCTATCAATACATAGCTTTTGTTATGATTTCCCTTCAGATTAATAAGAACAGGTGGATTATGATAGAAAGAACCTGGATCTTTGTTAAAACTGTTTTAGCACATATATGCATGGGGATGGACTTCAGTACATCTTGTGTACTGATACCTTGATCTGGCATTGGTACAGAGCAGTAAAAACTGTAGTTCTGCTAGCAGCAAGTTATTCTGAAAGTATAGCTGGGTTGTTAAAAAGGTTTTTACCACATATTGAGTGTTACTGATGAGTTTAATAGCACTTAAATTGTAACCGTAAAGGAAATGACTGGTGCCTTAATTTGTAGTGTTCCTCCCACTAAAAAATTCTGAGATCTAGCAGCTTCTCAAAATGACAGTTCCTGTAATGAAGTAATATTTTTTGTTCAAGTTTCATTGAGAAACCAAAGCATTGAAACTGTGTGAAGGATGTACATGGTTCATTCAGTCACTGACAAGTATTTGGTGGCAACTATTAGCCACTGTAGATGTGTAACTATTAGTGTGGATCCATTTTGTTTGAGCTTTGAATTTAAACGCCAAGACATGTTTAGCTAATGACACTTTTCATCTTTGGCTGTTAGTGACCTTAAAAGATGGAGGAGTATTTTTAGTTCTGAAAATTCAAGGATAATAATTTTTGGCTTCCAAATTTCAGATAATGAGAGCATGTGTACTTCAAAAGGAGAACATACTGGTCACAACAGTGATTGAGCTCCAAAATTCAAATAACTTCTGTTTCACACTACACAATTAGGAGAATCTGGTAGAGATTTGGAAGTAGGTTTTGACCTGAATGTGAAGATTTCAGTCTCTTAATGCTGTTAAATATTTTCTGGTTTAAGCAGTGTTTATGAAGATGACAGCTTTCTGGAACTGTCCGCACTGGAATTTTACAAACAGAAAGTAAACTGTGGTAGGCAAAGTCACTGAAACTTTGCATTTCACATAAAATGTGGGGGAGAGGGGAAGTAAGCCTACAGAGAGCCTGCCTCTAATAAAAATCCTTCTTGTCTCTGCAAACTTGCTGTGACTTATTCAGCTCTGCTTAGTGTATCTCATGATATCTGTGCCTGAATGTTTGCATAGTTCCAAGTTATACATACTGGGGAACTTCTTCATTTCCACTATGTTGTTGCACATTTTCATTGTTCCATTTTATTGGGGAGCTTGCTGTTATTACACTTGTCATTTACTGGGGATGAGTTTCCAAAATGAATGGTGATGATTATGTTTATATTTCTTGTATGTAATATTTTACTGTGTATTTTTACCTTCAGAGCGTTTCTGAGGAGAAATACTTTTTTCCCAACTTATCTTCAAAATAGGTGAAGCATCTTTCTGTGAACAAGTGTTTGTTACTCTATTTGAGATTCATTATTATGCAAATTGTCTTGAATATAATATTACCATAAATCACATTTTGTAGAAACTGATGAATTGGCTCATTAGCACAATATTTCCATAATTTGCTATACAGAGAAGATTTCCCATCTCAGTACTTTAGGCAAAAGTGAAATGGGATTATGAGCTTTTACTAGTAACTTTTGGGATTTGAAATGTCTTGGTGTTACTTGTTTAAGTGTATATTTGTAGGGATGGATATAAGAAAGCTAAGAGAATGTTGTATGTAAGGGTTCTATCCATAGCTAAAAGTATTACTGAGAACTTTAATTTTATGTAACTTGTGAGATTAATACTGCTTTTGTGCAAGATGGAAATCTTAAATACACTTTTGTTCCAAAACAGACACATTACCATACAGGAATCTGGAATGTCAGATGATACTGAAATTTCCTGTGATTGGATGCGAAAAGGTAAGAGTCTTTGGAGATTTTTGAATGCATAATCAAGAGAAGAGAGTAACCACAGAGGTATTCAGTCGCAAAACCAGGGCTTTCTACTTTTCACATAAAATGGGAATTTGTCATTTCAGTAATACCTTTTTATTGGAACAGCACTTTGTTTCCTAATGCATATAAAATGGATGTCTTTTGAAGTGGTGCAAACCTGAGTCTTTCAGGGAACATCTGCTTCTCTTTAGTACTTGTCTGTTGATAGTACTGGGTTTTGGTTGTTTTTTGATAGTAAGACACTGACTACTGTGATACTGCTTTGGAGGCTGACTCACAATCTCTCGTTGTTGTTCTCTTGTCTTTATCAGCAGACAGAATTTTAAAATAGGGATTTTTTTACAGGTTGTACTTCTGGTTTTTGCAGATGCTACACCCATTCTTCTGACAGTGTTCAGTTTTTTTAAGAATGCTTTTTTTTTTTAGAGGAGGATACTTCTGAGTTGTTTTGGGTTTTTTTTCTTCCTATTTTAAGCAGAACAGTCCAAGAGGCAGCATCTGAATGTGATTTGGTTTGTTTTCTACAGCTTGCATACAGACCTACTATGCAAAGTATGTCTGATGTGGAAGTTTCTTTTAGATAGGTTGAAGGAACAGGAGAAGAAAACTAACACACTGGAGAGGGCACCGTGTGCTGATTCTGGTTTTGAAGATTCTTGGTGTTCCCCTTTCTGGTGTCAGTTTTTCAGCTTGCTGTTAGTCTGGCACTCTGCCATTATGTATTGGTTTTGTTGCAGGCTTGAAAAGTGTCTGTGACAGTATGTCTTGTGCTGGTTTTTATATTAATGTGTTCATGTAGAAAGAAATACTTTCCATGTAGAAAGAGTGAGTGGTTTGGGCAGATGTAGCCTCCTGGAGGAAAAGGAGTGAATAGTAACTATTTGGGGGAAAGAAAGTTCCAGGCTTCAGTGATAAGAAGGCAAAATAAAAGGTAATGAGGGTGTAAGAACTCGGACACCAAGAAATAGACTCAAGTTCCCTGAGGATGAGTAGGGAGGAAGTACATAATTAGGCCTATGGCCATGCAAAGAGGCAGAGGGACCTGCACCATGGTATGTGCAGTACTGAGGTGATTGAAAAGAGGCCTGGCAACAAGTCCTGTACTATTTAGTAACTGCTGCATTTTCTTGGACTGTTGTTTTGCCTCATGTTCTAATGAAGGCTAAAAGCCTTTGGGTCTTTTGTGGTGCTTAAAATAAAGAAAAAGTTTTAAGTATGTCCTTCTTCCCAGATCCGAGAAGCTAACGATCACATCATACTCTTAGATTAATAATGCACGTAGTAGCTTATGTTTGATATATGACTTTTTTAAAAGACCTGCACAGAACAAAAGAAAGGTGCTTGGTTTTGGTAATTACCCACAATTTACGTATTTATTTAGGTATATGTATTACTGCTTTGGTGTCTTATGTTATGTAGTGAGATCATGGCTTCTTGTCTCAGGGGATTCACAGTCTAAGAAGGGCAACAAATACTACAGTTAAGGTATTCTGGATGATGTCAATCCTTTTCATCTGTCAAGTGGAAATCTTACATACATTGTCTTCAAGCAGATGTGCCTTGTATTGCTGGTTATACAGAGACCAGTGACTATAAGATTAAAGCCCTTCCAATAAGAATCTGATTCGTCCTGTATCTGCACAGTGTGGTGCAGTGGAAATTTATTCATGTGATCCAATGAAACAGTGAATATCTTCTCTATGCAGAGCTCTTCCATTGTACGTAAACAGTTGCTCCAGAAAGCTGCAGTTAATTTCTGTTCATTTCCTGTGGCATCTGCAGAAGGTGCTGAAATTTCATGACACTGAAGTCTCGTGTTTACTGTATTACTAGAATTTGGAGTTTCTGTATTTAGTTCATAGAATCACAGAATGGGTTGGGTTGGGAGGGACCTTCAGGATCATCCAGTTCCAACCCCCTGCCATAGGCAGGGACGCCCTCCCCCAT